AGTCTCTCAACTTTCTAGTTTCTCCTATATATATCTTTTTCTAGAAGTCAAGACCAAATTAATTCAATTCTCCTATTTATTTTTGCAAAATTCCACAAGATTAACAACTCACCTTTGATTTGCAACTCTCTTTTAATGCTCAGATAGTAGTTTTTCATATTTTAGTCATATATCTAAGTTTTATGTTTGTTATGAAATGTCTATTTGCATATATACTAGACTTGTTTAATTATTGTTCTTCAGAAATCTATGTTATATATTTTTCATCTCAATTTTTCAGTTCGTAGGATCTTACGATTCTCAATCTAATCCTATGGGTCCAATCAATTAGCAATCCCCATCGATCCAAGTTAGGATCTTGACTTTAGAAGCCTTGATTTTCAAGCATTTATTAGATAATTGATATTTGAAAAAAAAAAAAAAGATATTTGTACTTGACCTCTACAAGAGAGCATTAGGCAAATTCAAATCAGATTGGAAATGTACACACTAGCAGAATAAAATTCCAATATAGCAAACAGATTGATATATATTTACTTCTCAATGCATCCTTATTGCAGACTGATTACTAATCAATGCCATATATTTCGAAAAGTAAGAAGTGGCATGGTATTTACAAGTTATAGATGACAGAGCCAACAAGACATTTTACAGCAATTGATTATTCACAGGCCACGCAGATAACAGTTTGAACGGCTTCTGATGCACCTTAATATTTTGTACCAGACACCATACAAATTTTTTAGGCATAGCAGGTCTCTCCATCCCAATCTTGCAGATGCATCTGGCACCATGGTATATAAAATAAGTTGCCTCATAATGGAATTGAATCCACCTCTCATCATGTACAATCTGGCAACATAATCCCTGCAAGGGAAATTAAGCAAAATTTAACTGAAAGAGCACCAGGTCACAAACAGATANATCCCAATCTTGCAGATGCATCTGGCACCATGGTATATAAAATAAGTTGCCTCATACTGGAATTGAATCCACCTCTCATCATGTACAATCAGGCAACATAATCCCTGCAAGGGAAATTAAGCAAAATTTAACTGAAAGAGCACCAGGTCACAAACAGATAAATGATTGAATACTGCCCGAATTGTAATTATGAAGTTCACAAAAAAAGGAAAGAAAAAGGTAATAGGATACAGCAAGAAGAACCCCAAAAGAAATGATATTTATCAAACAAGAAAGGCCTAAAAGGACAGATACTAGAATGCCTCGAGACATAGAATAGAGATAACTACCATTAGCCACAGATGAAGGCACTCAAAAATGTCAAGATTGATTAGGAAGCTGAGCAAATGTCCCAGTGTTGGGGCTGCAATTCCCCACCATCATCTCCTCATAGACTGCATATGCACGATCGGGATTTCCTGAAATGCTATGTCCTCTAATGAGAGCATTATAAGTAAAGACATTAGGTTCAAGGCCCATGAATTGAAGTTCTTCATACATCTTTCCTGCTTCCTCTATCATTCCAACAATCCCAAGATTGAGTATCAAAGAATTGTAGGTATAAAGGTTGGGTGTAATCCCTTTGCTCCGCATCTCCTCAAGAAGGGAGAGAGCTTCCTTTATTCTTTGTGATCTCCCAAGGCCATTAATCATAAGGTTGTAAAATATTAAATCAGGATCAAGGCCGGATGACTTTAATTCCTCAAAGTAACACAAAGCATCATCCACTTTCCCCGACATGCACAGGCAATCAACAAGAATGGTGTAGGACTTCAAATCGGGTCTTACACCCTCTTTAACCATCCTATCAAATAACTCACAAGCAGTTTCCACATCACCTGCTTTCCCAAATCCATTAATAAGAATATTGTAGATAGCAGAGTTAGGTTTGCATCCATAATCCGTCATCTCCTCAAAGAAATTCTTTGCTTCATCCAATTTTCCAAGTTTTAAGAGACCATCTATAAGAGGACCATAAGTACAAGGAGTGGGAGAAAAATCTCCACTTATGAGATCGTAGTACAAATCTATAGCTTGATCTAAACAATTAGATTTTACAAGACCTGAGATGAGTATATTCTGAGTGATAGTGTTAGGCTTACATCCTCTGCAGAGCATCTCTTCATAAAGTTCAAAAAGTTCTATAGGATTCCCAGACTTCCCAAGATAATCTAGCAACAAGTTGTAGGTGAAAACATCTGGAGCACAACCAGCATTCTTCATCTCCTTAAATAGATCCCAAGCCAGTTCTTTAAGATTAATAGCGAGAAGCCCATCAATTAGGAGGTAATATGCTTCTGGTGTTGGTTGAATTCCAAAAGATTTTGTGAACTTTGCAAATAGTTTATGAGCATCAAGGGGTTTCTTCTGCTTACACAAAACCTTAATCAGAGGTACCATTACTGAATCATTTCTGCAAAGAGAATCAGATACCAACCTCTCGGCAAATGAGATGGAATGACCTAGTTCAGATTCATTTACTATCCCTTCCATTAAATTTCCCCAAAAAGATCTCCCAGACCAATTTCTATTGTTGTGGACAAAGTCCTTGGTGAGCTTAAAAGCATCCTCAATCCGCCCATCTTTCACAATCCTAGGCAGGAGGGTGCACAAAGTTACATTATCAGTGTAGAGCATTTTCCTCATCTGATGGAATAACCAGAATGCTTCACTAACCCTGTTTTGTCTAGCTAACCCACAAATAACAGTGTTATAAGTAAAAACATCAGGGCTGCAATTCTTTTCTGTCATCGTATAGAGCATCTTTAAGGCCCCATCAACCTCGTCACTCTTGCAAAGGCAATCAAGAAGTGTATTGAAAGTAATTGTGTTGGGAGGACACCCATACCCAGTCATGCTCTCAAATAAATCAATAGCCTCTTGAACTCTACCCTCCTTACTGAGTCCTGCCAATAATGTATTGTAGGTCACTACCGTAGGAGCAAGCTTCATATCCTTCATACTACAGAATAGTGCCCATGCTTCATTTACCCGATCAGCCTTGTAAAGTGTGTCAATCAAAGAATTGACAACAATCACATCAGGATCACAGCCACTCTCTGTCATCTCAGATAGTAACTGAATGGCTTCATCAATCTTCCCACTGTTACTATAGCACTTCATCATCATGTTATAGGTTATAGAATCTGGTACAAGCCCACTCTTTTTAAGTCCATTGAAGATATTTTTTGCCTCCCCAAGCCTACCCAGTTCTGCAAGACTATGCAAAGATGCATTGCAAGCAACTACATTAGGAATAATTCCACGAGCTTTCATCTTCTCAAAGGTTTCAAGAGCTTTGTCAGACTCTCCTAATTTCCCATAGTAGTCAATGAAAAGAATGTAGGTGTAAGCAGTAGTTTCAATACCAAGAGAGTCCAAACTATCAAATAGTTCTAATGCATCATCCAGCCTATTTACTCTCAGAAGCCCACAAACCAATGTGTTGTAGGTCTGAAGATTCGGAAACACCCCTTTCTTTTTCATGACATCTAATGTACTAAATGCCGCGTCAACTTTCCCGACTTTGCATAATGAATCAATAAGGATGGTGAAAGTAACCACATCTGCAGCATAACCATCAGCTTCCATCTCACTCCAAAATTCTCTTACAGCATCCAAGTCCCCATGGTCACCAAACTTATCTAATAAAGTGATGTATGTCACTCGATCAGGTCTATGGCAGCTAGATTTCATCTTTGTAAATACTTCCTTGGCAATATCAAGCTTTCTTGCATTACAAAGAGCATCTATAAGAACAGTATATGTTACTACATCAGGTCCACAACCCTCCTCATCCATTCTTTTCAGTATATTAATAGCCTCATCAATTTTTCCAGCCCTCCCAAGCACCCTAATGCAAATAGTGAATGTGTACACATTCGGCCTCAGTCCCAAGCTTTCCATTTCTTTCAACAAACTCATGACAGTTTCAATATCCCTTCTTTTCCCCAATGCAACCATAAGTGCAGAATAACTCTTGAGACTAGGTTTAATCTCTTCTGACACCATTCTTCTATATACTTCTAAAGCCTCCCTACAAAACCCTGATTGAAGAAGCAAATGGATCAGTCCATTATACGAATAGGCATTCAAAACAAACCCTGCTTTTCTCATCTGTTCAAGAGCAAATGAAGCTTGCCGAATCCCTCCCTTTATATAAAGACCCTTAAATATTGTCAAATAAGTACTCAAATTCCTATATATGATTTGCTTTTGCATCAAATCAAACACCACAGCCATATCACCTATCCTCCTATGTACCCTCAAGAGCTCAAGCATGTAATTACATGTTTCCGTAGTGTGAACAACATTGGGCAACTCCGCTACTGACTTGAAGAATGAAAAAGCTTGACTGGGGTCTGATGATGACTTCAAAATCCCAATAACTTCCTCAGGAGACATTCTCTTTTTAGGCTTCCCATTTACCACTACCACCTCATATTGACTTTTAGTCACAAACCCACAGAGACCCGCTTGTTTTTTCTTATGTGTTTTGTAGCTCACCATAGACCCAAATGGGGAAACATTCAAAACTAAGTTTGTTCTTCCTGGTGAACAATTAAAACTTGAAACACAAGGTCTTGTATCCCATGGTGTAGTATCAGTTACAGAACAATAATTAAAATTACTAGAGGAGCAGAGTGTAATCACAGCCATACACGAATTACGAGCAAAAATGCAAAAACCATAAGAGTTATGAAATGCCCAAATTAGAAGAATGTGGTATATTGCAAGTCTTTCGCTTGTTGAATTTCTTCGAAGAATGCAAAATGAGGTAGAGATACAAAGATGGGTTTTATCAGCTTACCAAAGGTTTCCGCCTGGCGTGGAGAGAGAAGAGGAGGAGAGGTGGGGTGTCAGTTTTATCAGTTGAGTAGAAACCTCGTGGCCGTAGGCAGAAGTGTCTGTGTTTGGATACATTGTTGGATATTTCTTGCGGGGAATGAATTTTGCCACGTGGGAATAGAAACATTTCATAAATATTTGGATAAATTTCATCCACACTCCTCTAATTAGCCATATCTTCAAAGACACCCTCTATATTTTGAAACTTCAATAACACCCTTGGTCGGATAATATCTATTTTAACAAAGATTTTCATTTTACTAAAATGCCCATGAGATATTTTTGGTTTGATTCATCTGTTTGTTTGCATTTTGGTCTTTTCTAATTTATTTTTGATTTTTTTGATTTCTAGTGTTCAATTTATTCTTCTATTTGAATCAATAATGAAGATGGTTTGTTTATTATATTTTTCATATATTATGAGCCATGTGTGGTCTATTTTTTTTTAATTTCATTTATTGAAGATGTTTTGTTTTTTTGGTCAATTAGTGAGGACTTTTTTTTCGTTTCCATCCACCATCGTGCCTCCACAACCTATGCTTTATGTTTTAACCTTTGTCACTACATTGAGATTCAGGACATAATATTTTCATGTAGGAAATGACATTATAGTCTTTTTATATATAGAAGGAAGTTTGGAATTTTTTGCCAACTCCATTCACTTTTTCCATTGCATGAAAACGGCGGTTAACCATTAGGGGTGTAAGTGAAATGAAAGTAGTCAAGCTCCCTTCACCTTTGCAAATGTAAATATGCTCTCACCCAATGGGAAGGGGAAAATAGAAAACAAAAAATAAAAATAAAAATCAAAGAACAATTATATGATCCAATTATGTGGATAATTTGGACTTGTGTGAAAGGGCAAAGAGCCACAAAGAAAACGAAAAGTGCTGGTGGCATAAAAGGCCCTTTCGAAAAANCTATTTTAACAAAGATTTTCATTTTACTAAAATGCCCATGAGATATTTTTGGTTTGGTTCATCTGTTTGTTTGCATTTTGGTCTTTTCTAATTTATTTTTGATTTTTTTGATTTCTAGTGTTCAATTTATTCTTCTATTTGAATCAATAATGAAGATGGTTTGTTTATTATATTTTTCATATATTATGAGCCATGTGTGGTCTATTTTTTTTTAATTTCATTTATTGAAGATGTTTTGTTTTTTTGGTCAATTAGTGAGGACTTTTTTTTCGTTTCCATCCACCATCGTGCCTCCACAACCTATGCTTTATGTTTTAACCTTTGTCACTACATTGAGATTCAGGACATAATATTTTCATGTAGGAAATGACATTATAGTCTTTTTATATATAGAAGGAAGTTTGGAATTTTTTGCCAACTCCATTCACTTTTTCCATTGCATGAAAACGGCGGTTAACCATTAGGGGTGTAAGTGAAATGAAAGTAGTCAAGCTCCCTTCACCTTTGCAAATGTAAATATGCTCTCACCCAATGGGAAGGGGAAAATAGAAAACAAAAAATAAAAATAAAAATCAAAGAACAATTATATGATCCAATTATGTGGATAATTTGGACTTGTGTGAAAGGGCAAAGAGCCACAAAGAAAACGAAAAGTGCTGGTGGCATAAAAGGCCCTTTCGAAAAAACCCAAATTGAGATCTGCATGCATAGATTGTGTTAAGGTTTTGATTTTATACCACCAAGCAATGACATAAAATAAAATAAAAACTTACCTGACATAAGATAGAAAAACAAAGTCTTAATAGAATATGACCCAAAAAATTATATCATTTCACCATAGATACACCAAATCAGCACACACAGAGAGAAAGTTCACTACAATGACACATATACATATACCTTGGTAAGAACCCAAGAGAAAATAACCAATAATCACCATTCCAATTGATAAAGTCTATATTAGGCATTTCATCGATCAATTTTTGAGCATACTTGAATGCAAGTACTAATATTAAAATTATAAAATAGGCCCCAATCGAAAGTAGGGAGAGGAAAGAAGAACGAAATAAAAATCTACTTAAAAAACAGAGAGCAAAAAAAGTTTCAATTGGTATTATTGTAGCATTATTTCCATAAATGTCGTATGCCAAGATTGAAGTTTAGCTAATCAACACAATCACTCGCACATGCATAAAAATGTAAAAATTTACCTAGCTAATAACCACGGTTATTGCTCCACAAAAAAAAACAAAAAAAAACTAATAACTAGATTTTGGGTTGGATGGTAGTGGTGTCTTAGGGAGTAAGGAGACACCTAGGGATGACAGTGGACCGGGGAAAAACAGGTATTCATCTAAACCCACCCCGTTTTGACCGGGGATGGACGATACATATTGGACAGTGGACATATACGGGGATACCCGTATAAACCCGTGCGGGGATGAAGGCGGGGATAGATTTACTCTTACCCCCGCTTCGTCCTTGCTCCCGTTACCTGTTAAATATATATAAACTCTCAATTAAAACCCTAGGCATAAATTATTCCTCTTCCTCAATCAACGCCGCCCCTCTCTCTCTTTCTCTCACGCACGCAAATGGTGATCTGAGTTTGCAAACCCGCGCATCTTCATCATTCATCTTCATCTTCAATTGTTGCTTCTCTCAGTCGATCGAACCTTAGTGCCTCCTCCTCTTTGAGTCTCAGAGACTCTCGCCAGTCGCCTCTCTCGCTGTCTCGTCTTCGAAGCCACAAGCCATCCACAAGCATTCCAGGTTCTCTCTCTCTCCTCTCTATGTTCTATATGATTGGTAGCAGTTAGTATGCCGTGCAATTTCTACTTGTGGGTTGCCTCCACAAAGCCCGAAAGTGATTATTCTTGTTTATAATATGTTTTAGAGGAATCTGCATTTCCATCAAATGAGATTTTGAACCTTTATAAATATTGACAGAAGGAAATAACTCCCAAAATGAGATTTTGAGGTCCATACTGAATCCAATCTCAATTAATACATNAGGAAATAACTCCAAAAATGAGATTTTGAGGTCCATACTGAATCCAATCTCAATTAATACATTGATCCTCTTCATTTTGTCAACGAACTTGGTATTGAACTCAAAGGAATCAATTGGTGAGATCGTTTTGGTGTTCGGCTCTTTGTTAAGAATTTTATACTTTGCACATGAAAGGGAATGGAGCAGTCTTAGGACATCATCATCTGACAGGTTTAACTGACTTATAATTTCCCGGTAACTCAATCAATCTGAGGAATTGAATAGCAGCAGAGTCGAAGCCTATAAAGGTAGAGCTCATGTCAGTGTGAATGTGTCAAACTCTGCCCTTTGTGCTGCTGCCCATCCACTGCCAGCGGCTCAGAGCCAATCATTGTTGCTCCCATGCCACCAACATCACTAGCCCCCTGCCCTTTTCTTCACTCACGACCAACAGCCACCACCACCACATGCCCATCCTGCACATTAAGTGTTCGTTAAAATGTCTAAGACACTACCACATGTTCATCCTGCACATTGTGGATCTGATTGAGGTGAAAAAGTGTCAGCAAAGGAAGGGAAGAGTTTTACTTAGGGGTAGAGTTGTGGGTCATGCGATCTAGGGTTTTTGGGTGGGGCTGAGGGAGGGGGGAAGGATTTTACATGAGCAATTTCAGTTAGTAAATGCTGCTGAGGAAATGCCAACGAGCCATTTCATTTTTACTTGAATAAAGATGATTCAAATACTGGTGATGGTTGATTTTGGTTGTTCAAACTTAGGCTGTTCAAAAGGCTAATTTTTTGTGCATCACTCTTGGCCTCCATGTTTGCTCACCCCTGCTAAGTTAAGGTTTCCTTTTTTGAGGCGGGCTATTGTGATCTAGTGGTTGGGCATCCAAGTTGCATCTTCTTCACCACAAACATGTGAAATGGTTGTGTCTATTTCTATAAGAAGCAAATGGAAATTGCTTTCCTAAAAATTTTTCCCGCTACGAGGGCGTTGATGAAAATTTTATGATGAAATAGGGTTGTACTAAAAATAATTTACTTTACGAAAATATTATTGGAGGTACCATTTGTTACAACATTATTTTACTTATGCACTGCTTGGTAAGTAAAAAGAAAAGAGAACAGAATTGTATGACTGTGTTTGATTGGATACTTGAACTCGATTGATTATGTTTTCCATTCAATAATTACATTAGAAACTGTGCATGATTGTGTTTGATTGGATCCTTGGGCTTGGGCTTGGGCTTGGGCAGGTATGGGGGAAGCGGGAACGGGGACGGAGACGAAGATTATAAATTTATTCATGGAAGGGGATGAGGATGAAAATTATAGCTGTTAACAGGGGTGGACCGTGGATGGAAGAAGGTTTTTTAAGCGGATACGGGGATGAAGACTATACCCCCGCCCCAGCTTCGATCCATTGACATCTCTAGAGGCACCATTGCGTTGTATGGAACAAATAGTAACTAAACAGACAAACAAATTGTAGACACTAATACATGCACACACCTTGTAAAGTTAAAACCATTGCAGCTTTGTGATGAATCAAAATTACTTCTTTATTACTTTATGCTCTCTGCCCATGAGTTGAAATGTAAAAGTAGGACACTACTTCCAAAGAAAGGGTACCGCTGGGAACAAACTAGAATTCAAGGGTATTGATGGTAACCAATTTGACGGTATTGGTGGACCTGCAACAACATTGAAAAGTTAAGAAAACCCATTTTGCCTCATGGTAAGGGATGAAAACTCAATGCATTTGAATCTCAGCAAATCACAACTACTGTATTCAAATTCCAACAACTTAACTATTCAACAGCGTGTGTGCATGTGTTGCAAAAAAAAAAAAGAGAAATTTTTTTTACCTGTGGGAGGATGTTGATCAATCTCTAAGCTTCTTGTGACTGCTAGCATCATCAAAAAACAAGAAAAATAAATGAGAGAAGGGGTAGCTGCTAGCAAAGAAACACAAATGAAAGGGGATATAATAGCGAGCAAAAGCCAATTTAATAGTGAACCCAAAGCCAAACCCAAATAGTGAGCAAATTAATTACAATGATAACACTTAATTGTCATTTTTATTGCAAAACCCAATATAAAAGTGAGCAAAACCCAATATAACAGTGAACACAAC